CAGCTACGGAATTAAAAGTGGTTGCCTCAGGAAAGCAATTTCAAAGAGGTGGGAATAGGGCAGTGGATTATTAATTCTCAGTATAATCAGCTGAAAATTTATCAGTGTTAACCGCATATTTAGAGCAAAATTTAAAACATAATTGCTTATGTTGCAATTGCAAATTTAAATGTTTTAAATTGCAAATTTAAAACATAAACCAAGGTAGTAGTTGTAAGAAAGAAAAAGAAAAAGAAAGGAAGACTCAGCCCTTATGAAGGTTGCTTGTATAATGCCATGGACTCATGATGAATATCTTGGACAGTCATTTATCTACGTGGGATTTTAGTACCACATCTGTTAACCTAACAGTAATTTAGACCATCAAGGCCCTTTCAACACTAATATTCTAGTATTCTAAAACTTTTAGTAAATGGCAGTGCACAATTTAAAGGACAAAAATCTGTTAGATAAAAGGCAAACTCACATGGCTTGTTTTGTAATGGATGGTTAATGAAATTACAGTGATCACAGTAATTTTACGATGACTCTTAAAAGAGTTAGTGAAAGAAGATAGGGGTATTAGGGAATCTATCTCCGCTGATTAGACAGCTTCTTCGACATAAAGCATGCATGATCCAAATATTAATGATACATTTGGGGCCTGTGGGAATACTGTGTGCTAAGTGTCACGTAACAGCCCCTGCTGGACTTAGCCAGTCAAATGTCACAACCTGTTTTTTCCTGCAGACTGTGCACAGGAAGAGACCAAAAGTCTGAACCCAAACCTACTGACAGTAAAGGATAAGTATGCACATCTACATAGCTAAATAGGAAAAAGGATCTGGCTGCGGAGAGCTTCTATAAGAACTCTAGCAGATTTTTCAGTTTGTTTAATTTTTTATTTCTGTACTGGGGATCAAACTCATGACTTAGTGCTTGCCAGTCTGGCGCTTACACTACTGAGCTAACTCCCCGGCCACATATTTCAGTTTAAAAAGATAATGCATGTCGGACTGATTTTAACTTAAAGATCTTTACATTTTAAAGCCCAGCCTATCTACTTTTAAAGAACAAACGAGGGGGCTGGAGATTTAGCTCAGCGGCATAAGTGCCTGCCTTGTAAGCAGGCAGTCGTGAGTTCGATCCCCAGTACCGGTAAAAATGAAAAAGACAAAAAAAAAAAAAAAAAAAAAAAAAGAACAAACGAGATGTTTTCACAGAAAATAAAAGGTAATCCTCCTTTCAAAAAAGTCATACATACACATTAGTACAAATGAGGGCAACTGGGCTTGTAGAAACTGGCCAGTACACTGAAAGGACTTTTTTTTTGTACAACTGACCATTCTGTTTGTGTATTTTCTCTTGCACTGTGATCACCAAGCAAATGAAAGAAACTTTAAAAATTATTGATATAACTGATTTTATGTATTTATTTTTCAACATACAATGTAAATATCCTAAGAACACAGAATCAGAGAATTTAAATTGGATGGAATCAAGGGATATTAGATCACTGATTTAATGCCTATATTATCTCCTTTTAATAAACTTCAGTCATGGCAACATTCCATGGGAACTTTGGGCAACACTTTATAAAAATTATGCATAAAACACATGTGGTAGCTTACATCTTTAATTTCAGCTACTGGAGTGATTGAAGCAGGAAGAGTTTGGGGCCTGTCGGAGCAATTTAACATGATCCTGTCTCCAAATAAAAAAATAAGAGCTAGGGAAGTAAATCCGTGTTAGAGTAGCCCTGAGATTAATCCCCTAGTACTACAAAAATCAATCAATCAATAAAATTAAAATTACTCAATTTAAAAAGAATTCTATGCAAATTTAAAGTTTACAAGAAAACACATAATAATGGAGGAAAAAATAATCTATTAAAGATAATACCTGATAAAACTATGCCTGTCTTGGTTACTACTCTATTTTACAAAGGGAGGAAAAGACTAATTTGCCTGCAGTTACACAGCAAGAAGCAGAGCTGACAGTCAAACTGTACATAACATTAAACCTCAAGATCTTTTTTTCTCCCCATTTTTGAGGACCCAGAGGTGCTCGACCACTGAGCTACACCCCGGTTTTGTTTTTGGTACTGGGGATTGAACTATTGAACACAAGGCCTTCTCATTGAGCTATGTGCTTAGCTGTTTTGTTTTGTTTTCTAATCTTTAAAATTTTGAGACAGGCTCTCACAAAGTTGCTAAATTGTCCATGCTGCCAGGTACGCTGGCATATGCCTATAATCTCAGCACTTGGGAGGCAGAGGCAGAAGGATCACCACAAGTTCAAAGCCAGCCAGGGCTAAACAGTAAGTTTGAGGCCAACCTGAACTGTATAGTGAGGGTTGATCTCAAGACAAACAAAACAAACAAATAGCCCAGGTAGTTTTCAAATTTGCCATTTTCTTGCCTCAGCCTTCCAGATTGCTGAAATTACAGGCATGTACCTTGACACTTGCGAACAATCCAAGGCTTTTTTTTTTTTTTTTTTTTTTTTTTGAGATCAGGTCTTCCTATGCATAGTTCAGGCTAACTCAAATTCATGGTAATCCTCCTGAATGCATCACGACACCTGCCACCCTTGTTTTTGTGTTTTGAGAGAGAGTCTTGCTTGCCACCTAGTTCAGGCTGGCATCAAACTGCTGGTGATCCTCTTATGTGTTGGAATTACAGGATGTGCCACCATGCCTGACTTTTTTGGTTTTTTTGAGACAGGGTCTCACTATGCAGTTCAGAATGGCCTCGAACTCCCAGTGACCTTTTTGGCTCAGCCAGAGTGCTAGGATTACAGGTGTGCACCATAACACCCAGCCTCCTGTTTTATTGATTTTAGTAATTTTAGTCTTCTTTCATTTTTTGGTTAATCTAGTTGAACTTTGTCATTTTGTTGATATCTTTAAAAGATTCCTTTTTTTCCCCATTTATCATTTTTCTTGTTTTTCTATTTCACTTACTTCTAATTCTTACTACTTCCTTCCTTCTGCTTGCTTTGAGTTTAGTTTGTTTTAGTTCCCCTACTTTTCTAAGGTGGAAATTTAGGTTACTGTCTTGAACTTTTCTTATTAAAAGTAAGAATTTACAGCTATAAATTTCCCTCTGCAAATTGTTTTCAGTTAGTCAAAATTTTATTACTATAAATTTTGGTATGATGAATTTTCATTTTTGCTTTTCTCAAAGTATTTTCCCTTGCTACCTATTCTTTGACTCATTTGTTATTTATAAGTAAATGGTTGAATTTCCATATATTTATGAATTTTCCAAGTTTCCTTATTATTACTAATTTCCTTTCATCGTGATCAGAAAAAAATGGATGAAATCTGTATAATTTCAGTCTTTTAAAATTTGTTACTTTTATGACTTAACATATACTTATCCTGACATGTCCATGTGTACCTGAAAAGAAAGTATATTCTGCTGCTAATACTGGATGGAGTGTCTGAAAAATATCTTTTGGGTCTAGCTGGTATATAGTGGCTGTTATGGCTTGTGTCTAGATATTCCCTCAAAGTTTCATGCAGCCATAGTTGGGGCTTTTCAGAAGTGCCTGAATCTAGAGTACGTGACTGATTCACGTTGCAATGCTAGGATAAAGGGTGCCAGGATTAAAGGTAAGTGATTACTAAATCAGTCCACCAACTGGTTTGGTACCACCCTAATTCTGGTAGCCAGGGCTTGTCTTGTCCCTTGTTGCTTTCCTGCCTTCTGCCTGCCATGCACTGTTTCCTCTGTGATGCCTGTCAGCCATGCCACCTTACCTTGGAGCTAGCTGATTATGGACTGTAACCTCCACAAACTGTGAGCTAAATAAATTTTCCTTTCTCTAAACTTTAGATGTTGGGTATTTTTCTCAGCAAGGAGAAAAGTAAGGGTGTCACACTGCAGAATGTATCAGAATTTTCTTCACTTTAAGGAAGTGTGATTATGTGTGTGTGCATGAAAAATATTCCAGTATATGAATATATTAAATTTTGATTTGTTGCTTCATGGGTTGACTCCATCTTTTGACTACTGTGAATTATGCTACTATGACATCTCTTTAAGTTCTTGCTTTCAAGTCTTTTGGGGTATATACTCAAAGATGGAATTGCCAGATCACATGAAAATTCTGTGTTTATTTTTCTAGGAATTTTCATACTTCTTACTCTGCTCTTCTATACTTCACTGCCTCTTGTAGAGGTATCTGTGTATGTTACAGTTAGTTCCTTTTTGCCATTTTGTTGAGATGAAGGCTATTATGATAAGACCAAGAACAGTGAATTCTAATTACTTTCTTGTGTTGTACTGATGCATATTTATACCAAAGCATGAAGAAGACCAGCTGTGACCTGTGAAAAGTCTCTAACTAAAATGCTATGTGAAGATACTGGAAGTCTAATGTTTAGCACTATGATGGATACATTTTAGAAGTTTTCATTTTGTGTGGAATTAGAATTCCTTCTCCAAAATAGTGTGTAACAACACTTAAAATAAAACCTGAATAAAATATCAAGGGACACACAGGACAGGAAATGGTAGGAAGTTACAACAGTCCAGATATAAAGTGATAAGAAGACAAAAGACAATGAGAATTTTTTAAAAAGTTACTAAATACAACTAAAATGTGAACGTATATATATAATTAAGCTATTAATTTTAAGTAGCACATAGGGGCTGGGGATTTAGCTCAGTGGCATAAGAGCCTGCTTTGCAAGCAGGCAGTCGTGAGTTTGATCCCCGGTACCGACAAAAAGGAAAAAGACAAAAAAAAAAAAAAAAAAAAAAAAAAATTTTAAGTAGCACAAGCATTTTTTCACTCTTAGTCCAAATAACACAAGCATTCAATCACAACATAAGAAAGTGCTGTAAGAGCCAAATAAAAAATACTAGAAAGACTGGCTACTTTGGAAAGGTTGACTTTGAGAATGTTCCTGAAATTTGGTATAAGGGTCATTTTCAATGTGATGTGAGTTATGATACCCTAGCAATTGGTTTATCAACTGCTTATTGAGAACACAAGAACCCAATGATTACCTGATAGCCTTCTGTTTTTTTCTGGCACCACTTCAACAAGGCATTCCTCTTCGAGCCTCCATATTCTCTTGCCAATGCTGAGAGAGGATCTTTCCTTTCTTCTCTAATAAGTGAAAACAAGAAGCCCAAAGATGAAATATTTTCTATATGAGCACCAGAGGAATATATCGCTAGCTTACATTTTTTGAAAATTTAACAGCAAGACACAGCATTTTCTTCATTTGACTTTTCTATTTTTAGTTTGTGGCCCCATAGACCTATAAGCTGTCTGGGGCTTCTGATATCTGAAGGGAGAGACTCTACTCACTATACACAGGTGAGAGGAAATAGTATCAAATGCGTTCACAATTAGAGTATGCATTTCAGGGTGCTATAGAGTTTGGGAGACAACCTGATATAGGTACATTCTGAATCACCCTGGCTACCTTTCCTTCAGTATTTTATCCTTCCATTGTCTTTACACTTTGGTTTATTTTACTCCTTTTTATTTCCTTAATCATCTCTTAAGTTTTTGGATCACTTACTATAAATACAGCAAGATTATTCAAGGTGGAGGATTCTAAGATAGAACTCCAGACTTCATGGGCCTCACAAGTGGGAGAAGCAGATAAAGAAAGACAAAAGAGGGCAATAAACATTAAAAAACTTTATCACTTCCCTAAAACATCTCAAGTGTGTTTATTGCTCATGTGTATAGATTTTTTTTTTTTTTTTTTGAGACAGGGTCTTGCTATGTTGCTCAGGTTGGTCCTCAATTCTTGTGTTCAAGTGATTCTCCTGCCTCAGTTTCTTGAGTGCTGGGTCCACAGGTGCATGTCACAGTGCCCGGCAAGTATTATACTCTATTGTATGTAGGGAGTTAAAGAGTTGGGTTTTTTGTTTTTGTTTTTTCCTGTGTATGTGGTATTGGGATTGAGGTAAGGGCTCTGTGCATGAAAGGCAAGCACTCTATCACTGAGCTACATCCCTAGCCCTAGAGTTTTATCTTAGTAGGAAATGGAGGGTGAAGGATTTAGCTCAACGGCACAAGCGCCTGCCTGGCAATTGTGAGGTCGTGAGTTTGATTCCCGGTTCAAAAAAAAGAAAACGAATACTTAATAGGAAATGGAAATTCTTTGTAGACTCATATCCAATGTCATCTTATGTGGAGCAGCACTCTAACAGTGAATATACAAGTAGTGGACAATCAATGGTGAATGTAGGACCACTGACCCTCTGTAGGAACTTCAGAATTTACTATACAATGGACATACTATTGAAGCTTGGGTTAAAAAAAAATCAGCACCTGGATTCGGGATGCAGTTAAGTGGTAGACTGCTTGCTCAGCAAAAACAACACCCTGGATTTGATCCCCAGCACCATCACCAACTGATTGAATTATGGCATTTTTTTTTTGTCCTGTAGGCAGAATAAACATCTTGCCACATTACAGATAGTGAGATAAAAAAGATTCTGCAATCACCCCTGGTGATGAGGCAGAAGAGACACAAAACTGTATTCATTCTGCACCAAACCTTTTCTTTTGCAGGTACACTGGAGGCAGAACACTGAGGAATACTTGGAGAAAGACACTGCTTTGTAAAACATTCCTTGACAAGTAGCCTGTTCTTTAAAAATTGATCTATTTTTCAGCAAAGCAAAGCAAAGACTCTGGCCACATACTCCACATACTTAGCATACTAATAAATATCCCAGAGCTAATAATGTTGGTACTTCTAAGCATATTCTGTCAGTATTCATCTTTCAAAGTATGCTATGAAATCAAAGAGGATGCATTTAGAACTGAAGTTCCTTCAATGAAGGGGTACACTGGAATAATACCAAGTCTTTTTATTTTAGAACCAAAACCAAAATACCAAACTTTTTTTCAATGTGCAATGAGATTGCTACCTTGAAGAAATATATTTTTGTGTCTGTATCTCAGTATATCAGATTTGTAATGTACAAGAGGCTCAAAGAAGTTTATTATAATAGCCACTGTAAATAGAGAGATTTCTGACACAAAAATGAACATAAAAGGCAAACCAAAAAAAATCCAGCAAACCAAGAACCACACAAAGAAACTAAACAGAAAAATTGTCATGCTAGACATAAAAATATTTCAAAAAATTGAAAAGTTTACCATGGCTCATACAGGGTCTCTTCTGCTATAAAAATAGCTTTAAAAGTATCAGAATAAACTATATGGACACAATGAGAATCTGCAGAAAAGAGTCCCCTGGAGTTAGGAAGTGATTTCTCACCACTTCTTCATACTAAGATGTGGAAACTCAGACCAGGAGATGCCATGTTGAAGATAAACAGCTCCCAAGTTGGGAACCAAGAGCAACAGGTGTTCTATCTCCCAGCCAATGCCCTCTGCACAGGCACAAAGCAGGGAGACTTGCACGCAGGACACAAAGAGGAGCACTGACAGTCACTCCCCTACATGGTCAGAGTGGCCTAGGCTCCTTCAACCCTACACTGACAAATTGGTCATAAGACACAGTGCCTGTGGGACCACTAATCTCAGAGGTTGGGTCCCTTGAGGTAGCACTTTAAAAATAGGTTCATAATTTGAATTTGAGAGTTTAAATATTTCATTTTATCTTTAAACCTAGAAATTAATAACAGCTAAAGTTCTAAAAACCCTTTACTATCCCTCTTTCCATTCTGAATACTTAAAACAACTTCCTCATCCCTAAAAACACTGCCAGATTTCTGGTATTTGTCAAATGCTTAACAATTACTACTATCTTTTGGTATCAGGAATCAAACTCAGGGTGCCTATCAAGTATTAATACAGTATCATGCTTTCTAACTTCCAGCTTATATACTTAAGAACACCTTTGATAACACTCTTCCCATTCTTTGTGTGCCTCTGACTAAAAAAAAAAATCTGTTGTTGAAATTACCTTTTTTTTGAAAAATCTCCTGGAACCAACCCTCTCCTCAGCTCTTTTCTAATGTTCTGACCCTGGTTCAGATTTGATTACTCTGTTCCAGACTCCTATAACCTTTTAGCTGGCTTCCCTAAATTCTGTCCAAAATAGAATAGTACTTTAATCATTTTCTTACACAAATATATTTACCTTACTTTACTGCTTCTTCATGGAAGTGATTCAATCTGACTTTAAAGAGATTCTATGATCTAGTCATACCTTGTTAGTCAATCTTTTTGTTTTTTAACACTGGGGACAGAAGCTAGGGCATTACACTGAGTTATGCACCCAATCCTCTTTTTTTTTTTTTGAGACAGGGTCATGTTACAGAGCTCAGGTTGCCCTCAAACTCACAGGGATCCTTCTGGATCAGCTTCCTGAGTACTGGGATCACAAGTGTGTATCACCATGCCAACCTAGTCCCATCTATCTATCTATCTTTAAGCTTTGACATGGGTCTCAGCTGTAAAGTTACTTAGGCTTGGATTGAGCTCCTGATGCTCCTGCCTTAGACATGGCATGCACCACTGTGCCACCTTGGCTATTTTATTTTCCCTTCTGCTGCCCCCTCATACAGTAGATACAACCTCCTCTGTCCTTGGATCTGCAGTGCCCTCTATCCACTGCATGCCTGACTCCTCACTTGTTTACCTCTTTTGTGTATTTGCTCAAGTTACTCACCTCTCCTGAACTGTCCTCCCCCATTTACAACCCTCAAGGTCCTGCTGCAATTTATAGGAAACCTCTAACACTCCACTTATAGCCCGCAGGGTTCAAATTTCTTTTCTTTTCTTTTTTTTTTTTTTTTTTTTTTTTTTTGGTACCGGGGATCGAACTCATGGGCTTCCCAGGCAGGCACTTATGATACCAACCTAAATCCCTAGCAGGATTCAAATTTCACAGTGCAGGTTGAGCATCTCTTATTTGACATGCTTTGGACCCGGAGTGTTTGAGACTGAGATTTTAGGATTTTAGAATATTTGCACAGGCTTTACTGGTTGAACATTTCTAATCCAGAAGCCTGAAATCCAAAACTTTTGGAAAATGATGTCTGTATTCCAAAAGTTCAGCATTTTAGATTTTCAGACAGGGATGTTCAACCTATACTTACTTTTGTATTTAACCATTCTCTAGTGAAAAACAAAAATATTCAAGTGCTTAAGAAAACAAACACTCTCTCTTATTTTGTTCAGTATCTTCTATACCATCTGTCGAATTCTACACAGAGAAGAGATGAGTCAACATTTAGTAACACAATAAGAAAAAGCAAATATAGTGCTATTTACAACCTCACTAATTACTCTTGAAATTCTGGGAAGGCACACATGAAATGCACTGACATTAAGTATTCTCACCTTATCCGGCTTCGGGTAGTTGGGGTCACAGACGCTGTGGGAGAGGACGACAGGGACAGCTGTGGCGATGTAGTTCCCATAGCCATAAGAGAGGCTGGCGACGCTCCTTCAGGTGCAGAGATGTCCCGCTTCATTTCTTCACTACTTCGTCGAGTCACTGATTGCCAAGAATAGTCATTATGCATTTTATAGCAAAAAACATTTTAGTCTCAATTTTTTTTTTGTCTTTTTCGTTTTTATTGGTACCAGGGATTGAACTCATGACTGCACACTTGCAAGGCAGGCACTTATGCCACTGAGCTAAATCCCCAGCCCTAGTCTCAATTTTTAAAATAGTTTCTTCTCAATATTCCAAGGAAAGCAAATATTAACTTACAGGAGATTAAGCTAACACTTTCGTTAAATTAGTGATGATGAAGGGATCTTAATTTTTCATGAAAAATATCTGTGAAAGATATATATATATTCTTTCACAGATATTTATATATATATATATATATTCTTTCACAGATATTCACATATATTTCACACACACACACACACACACACACACACATATATATTTGAGATATGCACTGAACCCCACGTTCCCTGTGTGGCTGCCTTTCCCATCACTGTACCACTCATAGTATCCACCAAGCACACAGTGAGTACTGAATAAATGTCTATTTAGTTACAACTAAAACCCACAGCAATATTTGGACCTGTTCCTTCCTGCCCAACACCTACAATTAAAGTCAATACATCCCTTTAGAACTTAGCCAAACACACAGTTAAAAAGGACAAAAAGAAAAGAAGCTTCATTATAGGGCTATATGCAATTCTGAGTCAGGGCACAATTCATTTTATTTGTTTGTTTGTTTTTTGTCTTGAGACAGGGTCTCATTATGGAGTTCAAGCTGGTCTTGGGTTTACTTTGTAGCCCAGGCTGGTCTCAAACTTACAACGATCCTCCTGCCTCAGTCTCCTGAGTGCTGGGATTACGGGACTGCATCACCACACCCGGCTCATCAAGGAACATTTAAAAGACAAATCAATGAGACAAATATATAAAAAGTCAATTACTGAGAAACAGCAGCCATATTTTAGGAAAGTCCTATTTTGAAAATCTGATAATCTAAGACATTGTATCTTGGCAGAATTACAAATCCCTGACAATTGTTAGGTGGAAGCAGCCACTTTGGCCTCTAATAATAGCAATAACAAAAGCAGTTCTCAGCAAGTTGGCACTGGATATCACCCTGCTAGGTGCTGAGGACTTGAGAAGGCTAAGCTGGCTTGAGAAGTGAGGTACCAGACAAAGCCCCAACTTCAGGCACTCTTTTGTCACCTCAGAAGAAGATTGACCCACAGGAACCGTTAATTGTACCATTATGGGTGATTGTAATGTAACCAATGTTACACAACAGTAATTTTTCCTCTCTGATTTGTAACTGTTTCCATTTTATTGTCTAACACTCTGTTGATTTCAGCAGCACAGAACTCTGCATTAGTATGGTGATGCCCTTTAAGATCCAACAGGGACAGATGTTTTCTCTCACTCTAAAAACTTAGAATGAAATGCCGGTGTATTTCTGGCAAAATTTTCTAATTATTCTTTTCATTTTTAGTTATTTTCATGGTGTAAGCCAGTAGTTTCTTTTTTGTGGTATGGGAGGAAATTGAATGAAGAAAATCTCTCAAAATTTGTATATGAAATGGAAGAAACAGACTGAAAAAGAATCTGACAAACTCTGTTGTAAGAAAAGCACACAAAAAAAGGCTGAGGGGTGATAATTTTATTTGATCACCCAATTTCTCACTATTTTAAAGACTTGTGATGATGCATAAAAAGCTGTACTAAGTCCTGACAGAAAGTAGGAAAAAAAATGAATATCCTATTATGTTGAACAGCAAAGCAAGCAAGCAAGCTGTACTTAGCTAACTCCGTGTATAAGCATGACATTATCAAGGCAAGACTGAGTGATAGAGATTTCACCTTTTGTAGTCAATTTCTAGTTGACCTATTAAGCAAAGCCCACAATGGAAAATAATATAAACAATTGATAAATTGAAGAGTTAACTCCAAAAGACAAAGAAAGCTCATCAAATTCATTATTAAAGATGTCTTTATGATACTGGAAAGTTTAGTTTCCCTAAATATATTTTATATGCTTTGTTTTGTTTTTCTGTGGATTTTTTTTTCCCCCATACTGCAGATCGAACTCAGGGCCTCATGCTTGCCAGGCAGGCGCTTATTCCGCTGAGCTAAGTCCCCAGTCCCTTTAAATGCTCTCAAATAACCTTTCAAAATCAATTCTGAAACACTTTAGGATAAATATTTTTTCCTGGCTCTATCAACTTTGCATAAATGTGTATTTTCAACATGTTATGTGATACATTGTAAGCATTTAAAAACTTCTGGAGAAAACTTTTAAAAGCAAATTTCACCCAAGCTTGGTAGCACATGCTTATAATCTCAGATGTTCAGGAGAATGGGTGGGAGGATTACAAGTTCAAGGTTTGCACAGGCAATTAATGAGACTTTATCTCAGAAACCAAAAAGAAGCCAAGTGTAGTGCTACTGTGCACACTTGTAATTCCAACACTCAGAAAGCTGAGACAAGGAGAGCACCATGGGTTTGAGGTCAGCCTAGGCTACAAAGTGAGTTCAAGTCTGGTCTGAACTACACACTGAGACTCTGTCTCAAAAATCAAAAATAACAAAGGAACAAGGGACATTGCTTAGTGGTAGAATACTTGTTTAACATGTACTGCATTAAGCAGTACTGCATTCTATCTTCAGTAGAAAGACAAAAAAAAAGAAAAACAGAGGGAAAGAGACAAGGAGGGAGAAGGAAGGAGGAAAGAAGAAAGGGAGAGAAGGGGGAGGAGAGGAAGGAAGGAAAAATTTCAGAACAAGTCATTACCTGAGATGCTCTTGGCACTTTCCATAGCGGGTACTCTTGGTAGAGAAGCAGGTCGGCTAGTTGACGATGTTCTTAACAGATGCTCTGCAGAGTGAAAAAGATCACAATAAAGAAATCTGATGCTGAATATTGAGTAATAAAGGTTCAAGGAAGATGAGCAATCACCTCAAAATTGCAATTCATCCTTCCTCTCAATTCAGGGCACTTTAACAATTCTCCGTAACAATTCCCATAGATAAGGAACACAGTAAAACATTTCAACATTTTATCTCTACGGATGAGACACTACACAGATGAATACTTCTAAATTACTGACCATCACTTAGTTCTTCAATGCAATTCAAACAAAATTTCAGAGATCCCCTATTACATCTAGGTGTAAGGAACAAACTAAACAAACTCTGCCTTTATGTGCCCATGGTTAGTCGGGACACCACATACATACATAACCGTAAGCAAATCAAAATGTAATAACCAGAATGCAGAATGATAGAACGCTATCAGACCACAAAGAGAGAAGCCATTTTTATTTCAGATACCAGGGAAATCTTCAAAAATATAACAGCATTAAGCTAGGGCTTAGTAGGAGAGAAGACAGTTGGATACTTGTGCTTCAGTCAGACAAAAATCCAGAGAAAAGGTACAAGTTAGAGGGAAAAAATAGCAAGGGCCGAGCGTGGCTGGGCACAACAGCACACACTTATTCTGGGAGGCTGAGACTGAGAATCACTAGTTCAAGCCCAATCTAGGCAATTCAATGAGACCCTGTCTAAACCAGCAAACAAACAAACAAAAAAGTATGAGAATGATGCACAGTACAAAGGCCCTAAGTTCAATCATTAGTACCACAAAATAAAATTCAAACAACCAAAAAGCTAGTGTAGCTAAAACACAAATATATGTAAAACAGGGCAGCAAGACAAGGGTCTCAGACAGAGAACAAGGCTGATTGGGATAGTCTTCATTACTGGAACATGGACTCTAGTTTGAGTGCAAAAATAAAGCCTATATTCTCTGGGAGGCTAAAACAGGCAGATGAGTTTATGTTCAGCCTGGACAACTTAGCAAGACTCTATCTCAAAATAAAAAGTGGATGGGGTTATAGCTCAGTATAAAGGCCCTGGGCTTATTCCTCAGTACAGGAATAAGTAGTGGGTGGCGGCATACAGATTTAAAAGAAATGAAAACTTACTTGACGATAGCCTATATGTTGGAATTTTAAAGCAGGCATTACAAATAAGATCAATGTCACAAAGAAAAAAAAACACTCTCACTGAAATGAAGAAATAAGAAATTTTAGTTAAAAGAGTTCTAGGAGTACAAGATAGGAACTCCCTGAGATGCAATGCAAAAGTAGTCTAAAGTTAAAAAAAAAAAAAAAAAAAAAAAAAAAAAAGTAGTCTAAAGTTGAATGTGGAACAGAAATTAAGAAAGGCCCTTTAGTAGCTAAGTATGGTGACATGCCAGTAACACTAGCACTTGGGAGGTTGAGGCAGGAGGAAAGCCAGTATGGGCTACCAAGCAAGCTCAAAGCTATACTGCACTCATACATAGTAAGATCCTAGCTCCAAATAAAGGCTGTCTAACAATTTGAGAAACACAAATTGTTACTAGACGAATTGGAAGTCTGTACTACACTGAAGGTAATCACAGTAACAATATATCTTCAACCTATTCTATCTCCTTAGTAGACTAATTGAACTCCTGTCATTCTCAGAATTGGTCAAAAAGAAACACTTTCTAAGGCATGAAATCACTATTTTCATGTAAGCTATCCAACTTTCATCAAAGAATTGTAAAAATATAAAACGTAAGAAAGAAAACAACATCTTCAGCTTATTACACCAAGAAATGTAATTTTAAAAAAGGTTCAAATATGGCATAGATGTTAAAACTATCTGGCAAAGCATTTAAAATAACTATGATTAATATGTTAAAAGTCTAATGAAAATGGTAGAAAATATGGGATATCAGGTAGGACTTTACACAATATTTGATTTTCTCATAGTTTTCATTTCTCTGTAGACATTAGACAAATAAAACTGCTAACTATATTTCTGGTTCTTGGGGTTATATATATCCCCTCAACTCCCATACATGCTTTCTCAGAATATATGGCATGCGGAGACTTTTGTTTGTTGCATGCAGAGACTTCTGTTTTGTTTGAGATGCATCTTAGGTTGGTCTCAAATTCGTAACAATCCTTCTGCCTTAGCTTCCCAAGTGTAGGTTATAGGAGTGCAGTACCATAGTCTTCTACCTAGGGTGGCCTTAAACTTACATCAGCCCACCTGCCTTAGCTTCCTGAGTGCTAGGATTACAAATATGTGCTGACATGCCCACCTCACAACTGGGGAAATGGGCGATTCTGGCACTAGTTGGTGCTTACAATCCAGTAGACATACACTAGAGATACTGCTAGGCAACACACACTGTACAAACAACATCTCATAACCAGCGTCAAATAGAGAAATAGTTATCAAAATGGTAGACTCTGGTAGAGCAGTATCAACAGTCATACTGAAAGTGAATAATCTAAATCTACAAGTTAAGGGACATTTTATCAGGACAAATAAAAAAACTAAGATTCAACTTATACTAACTACAAGAAACTCACTTTAAATATAAAGACACAGATAAAAGTAAAATGGAAGAAGATATAACATGGTAAAATGCACGCACTACCAAAAGGAATCTGCAAGAATTGTTTTTTTGCCAGGGGCAGGGGAGGTATCTGGAGATGGAACTCAGGACTTCTTTCATCAGAAGCAAGTGCTCTAACACTGCATTATATTCCCAGCTATTCTAACTTTTTATTTTAAATTTTGAGACAAATTCTAATTTGCCCGGTGTTATAGTTTGGGCCTAATGTCCCCTCAAAGCTTTACGCAGTGTTCAGTTTTTTTGGAGGCTGCTGAAACTAGACTATGTGATCGATTCCTACTGCAATGCTGGGATTAAGGGTGATGAGTAAGTGATTGCTGGATCCGTCCCAATCCCAGTAGACTGGCTAGAAGGGACAGAAAGAAGTATGTCTCCGTCTCTGTCTCTTGTTGTTTTTGCTGTCTTCTACCACCATGAAGTGTTGCTTCTCTGCTATATGCACCCTGCTTTGGAGCCAGCCAATTATAGACTGAAACATCTACAAACTGGAGCTAAATAATCGCTTCCTCCTTTTAACTTTGAGTATCAGGCATTTTGTCTCAGCAACAAGGAAAGTAACTAAGACACCCAGGTTGGACCCAAACTTGCACTTCTCCTGCCTCAGTCTCCATAATAGTTGAGGTTACAGTTTTATGCCACATGCTACCATACCCAGCTATAAAGTAGCTATATTAAAATCAGACAAGGAAAACTTTACAACAAGGGATGCAATCAGAGACAAAAAGGAGTTACACAATAAAGTGTTCCATTCTAAAAGACAAAAAAATCTAAATGTGTACCAACCTACCAACAGAACTTTAAACTAGTGAGATGAAAACTGATAAAACTGCAAACAGAAATACTTCCGTAACTACTACAAGGAGTACAACATTCTTGTCTCAGTATTTGATAAAAAGAGTACGTGGAAAATCAGTAAGAATGAAGAAGATCTAGGCTGGAAAAACATTCACAACCAATTAGACTCAACTAATTCATTTATAAAACAATCCAACAACTACAAAATAAATGCATGCTGCTAAGACAGAGAAGACAGACTTAAACAGAGAATATAGCTGGGCACAATGGTGCAGGCCTATAATCCCAGGACTTGGGAGGCTGAGGCGGAAGGACTGCTGTGAGTTCAAGACTAGCCTGGACTACAAAACGAGTTCAAAGCCAACCTGTACTACTTAGTGAGACCCTGTCTCAAAACAAACAAAATAAAAAAATCATTATATAAAAAGGCTAAATACACTTTCATTTATGAGACTTTCTGGAAAAGGCAGGACTAATAGGGAGGGGAAAACAACTTCCTACAGCATCTACATTTACCATCACTTAACAGGATACACTCCACAAGGTATGCTGTCAGGTACTTTTCTGTTGTGCAAAACTCTAAGGAGTATGCTTATATAAATCTATACAATATAGCATTCTACACTCCTGAATTATATGTGGCATAACTACCACTGTATATGCAGACCACTGTTGACTGAAATATCCACCATGTGGCACTGGTCTGAACTGATGAGAAGTGACAATAATGCCACGTTGAAGTTGGAGGAATCTCCAGGCTCTTCACCCATGGACACCACCCAGCTAAGGCTTCTGTTTAACATTCTGGATCTCTTAATATCACTGTGCAGGTGGAAAAAGTAAAGATTTTTCCAACTACCTATGTCATTCATACAGCTACCTACCTCTACTACTGGAAGCAGATCCATGCTTTTCTGCTGAAGCTACAAAGGATGATTTACATACTATCTGCAAAGATTCACTGAGGTGATATCAATCATCACCTCTGCAACAGAATTCAACTGCCAACAATACCAACAAAAGAGCATTTGATGAGCCCATTTATAGTAAAATCTCTGGTCTGAAACATTTTCTTATAACCCATAACCAGGCATGGTGCTAAAATACAACAAACCAAAAAAAGGAAAGTCACATTATAACAGACAGTAACTTTTAAAATTTCAGTAATAACATCACTGAAATCTTCAAAACAAATATCATAGACTACTTTTTTTTTTATTTATGCCAAGACAAATGAGACAACCAAAGCAGAAAAGCGGCTCAAAATGTTACATCTTGGAAATTCTACAGTCATCATAATGTATGCGTTATCGTAATGGCCTTTTATGGCCAAGAATCATTTGCTTATCCTTAGCATTTTAGTACACAATGAAGCTGTGCCATAAAGAAAGATAAACTGAATCATTTATAATAAGCTGGATGCATCGTCTTGCTTGCTTGTTTTTTGAGATAAGTTTTCACTATATAGCTCAGGTTCCTTTTAACTTGGGTGATCACCTGGCTCAGCCTTCTAAATGCTGGGATTACAGACATGTACCACCATGCCCAGCAAGAAATGCATCTTGAGAGTATAATGTTAAGTGAAATAAATCAGACATACAAGTTTTGATACTGTATGATTTCTCTCCTATGAGAAACCCAAATTATAAATAAAGAGCAAAACAAAAGATAGATATAGTAAGTAGGGAAATATATCTTTCTCAAATGGGAAGGGGATCAAGAGATGGAGTGTGGAGGGATAGAAAAAGGAAGATGTATTACATACATGTACTAACTCCCCATAAGGAATGCAAAAATTATGTACTGAAAGCATATACTAATTTACAAAAAAAAAATCACTGTATTAACAACTTCACAGATAAAAATTCACTTAAAATATTTTCCCTGCCAGCTGCATTTGCAACATACTAAACCCTGTTAAGGCATTATAAGAGGCTCAAGTAGGAATGAGAACAGCCATGACACAAGCCGTAGACACATATGTATGCCCAATGGATAAATCACCAGATAATAAAGGAAGGACAGCCAGGAACAGACTCTTAAGGCATTTAGTCTGTCTTAAATAACCTTGGCCCACAAACCTTCTACACTCATTTTTCACCCACAAAAGCCAAGAAAACAGAAATAACTAAATGGTTTTAATTTTTTGTCCTATTTTCTAAGCTGATTCCTAAAAGTCAGCTGGGGTGTTTGGGGAAATGGAATTTTCAAGCTCCCTTTCTTGGATGGCCTAGGATTCTGTGTTTTAAAAAGTGCCTCAAGTAAGGCTGGTTTTTCCCTAGTAAACCTCGCCCACTGTGGCTCCAGCAAAATTAGTCTAGAATGTAGTCATGGAGAACTGAGAGGCAATAAGAGTTTGCTGCAGACTGGGATTGCTCCTAAGACCCTGAGTAAGGGTCTGAGTCACTTCTTAGAGGTCACCTGGGTCATGGGAACCTGATACTCTCAGGATTACCCAGAAACCCCCAGATGTGGGTCCCTCCTACTGGACTTTTCAGGCTATCATTAGAGAGCCATGGTCAAGCTAGAACCAAGGCTCTCAAACAGTAGCAACGGATATAATGTGCCTGGCTCCTGGCTTTGAGTATGGTGACACAGCACACAGGTCAAAACTCTTGAGTTTTTGATAGAACCAGGATACACATGGCTGGTAGCAGAGGTGGAATGTTTCTGAACCACTAGTTTCTATCTTTGTTGCCCTCAATGAATGAATGTAGCTCTTTCAAGATGTCCAGGACACAAAATATAGATGCTTTTGTGCAGCTATTTGCTGGCAACAAGCAAAATCCTACAGCAGTTTGCTGCCTAAAATCTTTTACTTATATATTACTAAGGTCTATCATTTTTAGCCACTTGTTATTAAGAAAAAATTCACACAGATATCTCATCCCTTTCTCTTTTACTCAGTCTGCCAAGACACATGGGCATCCTTGCCATCCAGCACTTGGCACACTCTTGATTTAGGGACCTCATCCTGGCTATTCCCCATTTAGATGGCTCTTCTCATGTTCTCTTTCAAGCCTTTATTCAAACCAAACCTCTCCAGTGAGGCTCTGGATAAGACAGTTAAAATTGGGAATATGTCCAAATGGCACCGTTCTGTCACATACCCTGTGCAACAGTGCCAACAGATGATACACACTCTCTAACATTTACTACAATGTTATAAAAGAACTGCTATAGAAGTTGCATTTGTTAATGACTTATTTTCCCATGTAATTAAGACATTATTGGTTGAAATAATGTCAAGAACAAAGAAAATAACAATTAAACTGATCAAAGCAGCCAGCAAAATCCAAAATTTAATATACACACAGGAGGAGGGAGGGAGGATGGAAAGGAAGGAGGAAAGGAGAGAGAGGGAGAAAAATGCTGTGACATATTAGATATACCTTGAACAGGGATTTCCCCATAGTTTGGTCTCTTATCTGACAAGGTTGTGAGGGGCTTGGACGTTGAGATTGGTCCACTTATGGAATGTCTCTGAAATCACAAGATGAACAGTATTAAAGTTAGGTTAAACTTAGTACTGAGACTCACAGACAGTAAGTATTTAGTTATAAATTTACATAACTCCTTCCACACTGTACCAGTACGGACAAAATATACACTACAGATATATAATATGATCAACAGGCTTTTTAAAAATTAAATTTCTTAAATAAGGTAACTATAGATTCACATGTACTCTTCACTGTTTTCCACAGGGGTAAAATCTATCAATCTAGAGCAGAGTATCACAGCCAGGATATTGAGACAGTAGTGACACAGAAAACCTCTGTCACCAAAGAGATTCTGTCTGTAGCCCTTTTACAGCCATACTATCTTTCCCCTTCCAGAATCCATTACAGATCCCTGACAACTACTAGTTTTGAATTTTTAAATTCAATTCACATGTCAACTCACTAAATACAAGATCCAAAAGGAAATACAGATGTGCCCCTATTGTAGTTTTATTAATCATTCATACCTTGATTCTGAATAGATCTCAACTCTATTATTCATTTGCTAAGTCCATAAGTGCCTAAGTACATGTCATTTTTAATTCAGTATTACTAGCAACAGCTTTGTTACTAACAGCTTCCTAAATCTCCATACTTATACATACAGAAGCAACCTAAAATATGCACTGCAAATACTTAAAACTTGTAAAACATTGAATATTTTATATATACTTTTCCTTGTGCTATATTCTAGCCTTTTTTAAACAAAAATCTAGCTATCTTCTAGCACTCATTTCATACTCCAGTAGAAATGTGCAGTAGGTCCAACTTCTCTACATCTTTACCATACCTGCTATTATTAGACTTTAATTTTGGCAATTCTCAAGGGAGTAGCTTATCCGCTCACTGTAGACTTAATTTCCATTTCCCTGACGACTTAACGATGTTGAATATCTTTTCTAGTGCTTATGGTCACATGCACATCTTTTCTTAAGAGGGGGCTTTTCAAATCATTTTTGGGGATGGGGCAGTACTGAGGATTGAACCAAGAGCTTCATACTTGGTTATATTTCCAGTACTCTTTTTTAAAAAATTTCTATTTTAAGGCAGAGACTCATTAAGCTGCTAAATTGCCCAGGCTGGGTCCAAACTTTCAGTCCTTCTGCCTTAGGTTCCCACAGTGCTAGGATTATGTGTGCACACAATATCTTGCTGTCTTCATATTTTCTTAACGTCTTTAAACGAGTTTTAAATTTTTTTTGTCTTTTTCTTTTTTATCGGTACCTGGGATCGAACTCACAACCACACACTTGCAAAGCAGGCGCATATGCCGCTGAGCTAAATCCCCAGCCCCAAGTTTTAAATTTTTAAGCCCAATTTATCAATTTGCTTTTACAGTTCATGCTTTTAAGTATTCTAAATAAGAAATCTCTACATTTTCAAAGGTTATAAAGATTTTCTCTGTGAAATGCCCTTATCTAAAAGTTTCCTAGTGTTAGCCTGTACGTTTAAGTCTACCACCAATTTCAATTTATCTACTTGTTTTATTTTTCCCTCACTGCACAGAGCAGAAGTTTCAGCAAAATGTATGTGTGTGTGTGTGTGTGTTGTGAAAAGAAAAAAGTGGTGAGTATCCTTGTATTGTTCCTGATCACTGAGGTAAAGGATTCATCTCTAATCTGCTAAGTGTGATGCTAGCTGTAGACTTTCCATAGTGGTCTTCTTCAAGACTGATTCGTATTCCTACTTTACTGAAGTTTTACCATAAATAGATGTAAAATTTTTGGTATAGATATTAAAATTAAATATGTATGTATATGAAATGTATATGAATGTATGTATACACACACACATTTATCCTTTGAAGGTAAATTTTAACCTCACATTCTTGGGATATGCCATCCTTGGTAATGGTAAACTGTCAATTTTAAAATTGCTAGATTCAGCCACCATCAGGACTCTCCTGCAGGTAACTAGCATGGGCGAGGAGAAGCAGCCAACTCAGTCCCCATGTGCAATCCAGCTACCACAGGGACTCTCCCACGAGTAGCCAGTATGGGCAGAGAGAAGCAGTCAGCCAAGCCCTCATGCACATGTGCGCTGCCATCAGAACTCTCTGGGGGTAGCCAGTGCAAACCAGGAGAACCCTCTTCCCTGGCGAGGGGAGTTGATTCATAGTAAGTGAACCTCTATGAATCAATGGTCTTGGCTGAGGCCTGAAGTGGCCTATGAGGCCAGAGATACCTCAAAGGGCAAGATAAGGCCATAACTGTGGACACTCTGGCTCCAACCCCAATTAACAAGGTAGAGACTGCAGCTGCAAAGATCACTCCTACAGTCTCACTTCTACCATGTCTTCATGATAAGACAGTACTACTGAATTGACTTGATTCATTACTTGGAGACATCCTTGAAGTGACTCCCAAGGTCCTGCTCATTGCCTGCACCCTTTGTCCTTTGTCCTAATATAAGTACACTGATCCAGAGAATCCTTTGTCTTTACCTTAGAAGCTTCTAGCTTAATTAAAGAGTTTTGACCCTCCTGGAGCCCTAAAAATCATACAATTTGTCTTTTTTTATTTAACCCCAGCCGTACATTCGTTTGGGAGATCAGGGATCTAGGACAAAACCCAATAAGGCTGCAAAAGAAATCAGATCAGAAATAATATCTCAAAAGAAGGAATGACAAACATAATAAAAGGGTTGCCATGCTTATCTAAAGATAGAAAAAAAAAGGAGCATAAGAAAATGAGGGAAACTTTGAACAATGTAGAGAAGAATTGGAATGCATGAAACAGATTCAAAGAGATATCCAGGAAATTAAAAATTCCATGGAAAGCTGACAAAACTGCTCAAAAGAAACTAAAGATAGACTTTCAGACCTTGAAGACAGGATGGCAGCTAGTGATCACAACAGATCTCAACCAGGAAACAACAATTCAACGGCTGCAAGATGACACAAAGAAAAATAATTTAAGAATGATAGATGTCAGTAAAAAAGCAGGTGTCAACACAAATGACATAAAGAGATGATTTATAGAAGTAATAGCTGAAAACTCAAGCATGGGAAAAGGACCTGACATACAGATAAGTGAGGCATACAGAACTCCAACTAGGCTAACCAGAACAAATCTACAACCCAGTCATCTGTTCTCGAACTCATAACTATCTTCCTGCCTCAGCTTCCTGAGTCCTGGGATTACAGATGTGCACCAACCACAACCTGCTCAAGAACAGAATATTAAAGGCTATTAAGAGAAAAGAAACAGATCACCTATAAAGGAAAAACCAATAGAATCACGACAGACTTCTCAACACAAAGCATCAAGTTAAGAGGAGCTTGGAGTGAAGAATTACAAGTCCTGAATGAAAACAACTTACAACCAAGACTGAAGTACCTGCAAAATTATCTTTCAAAATGGATACAAAAATAAGGTACTTACACACACACACACACACACACACACACACACAAAGACAACTGAAGGAATTCATGTCCATCAAACCAACCCTATAAAGAATACTGAAGGATATTCTAGAGAGAGATAAAAATGACCATTGTTCCAGGAACAGCTGCAAAGTAGAATCACCAAGTGGTACAAACAACTGAATGGAAGGGGAACACAGGTAGAGAGCCAATGTCAGGAAAAAAGCACTGCAGAGATGAACCAGTGCATGTTGGCCATAACCATAAATGTAGACGGCCTTCATCCACCAATGAAAAGAAACAGGCAGAGTGGATCAAGAAACAAGATTCATCAATATGTGGTATACAAGAAACACATTAACTCAAAAGGAAATTCACAGATTGAAAGTTAAAGGAGAGAAAACAATGCTCCGTGTGACAAGGAACCAGAAAAAGCAGGGATAGCTTGCCCATCAACCACAGAATAGGTAAAAAAGGTAACGGTATTTTTATATACTGGAAAACTACTCAGCTATAAAGAATAATCATGAGGTCTTATAGGTAAATAGATGCAACATGTTATCATGCTCTTGGGTGAAATGGGTTAGACTCACACAGGTGAACTTCATGTTGTCTGCTTAGTATAAAAACTGAGTTGGTGGGGGTCGAAGACGTACAATAGATATTGTGAAAGTGAAAAGGGAGGAAACATCTAAAAAGGGAAGGTAGTAGCCAGCATCAATTCCCTATTATTTTGTTTTAAAATACTCTATCATTTTATTGTTGTTTTGATTGGTCTTATTGTTTTGCTTGGTTTGATTTAATTATATCTGATGGCATGGACAGCTATTTTGAAGATAACAGATTATTTTGTTTTGAAGTTTGTATCGCTTTCACTGTTTCGTTTTGATTGGTTTTACTGTTTTGTCTAGTTTTATTCTCATAAAATTTTTAAAAAATTGCTAGATTCAATTTGCTAACATGTTAAGTTTGCATCTTCATTCATAACAGATATTGGTTAGTAGTTGCCTTTCTTTGCAATGTTTCTGTTTCTGCTACATGACACTGAAAACATAAACTGAAAAAGCTTCATTTTTTTCTGTTTTCTGAGAAGCTTTGTATAGGATTAGAATTATTTCTGCCATGAAAGTTGTTTTTTTTTTTTTATTTAAAGAAAAGGAAACAAAAGAATACATGGAGATAAAAAAGGGTAGAAATAATACAAACTTACAGAAAAACAAACGGTAAGAAATTGCTGGTTGATAAGTTACACATTGTCATCTTAGAAATAGCTGTTCATGTTACAGAATTAAAGTATTTAGAATGACATTCATAAAGTGACACTACAAACCCTTCTGCTCTATGATCGAACAAGAGCTCAGTAATATGGTTATCAGTCCTACACATTTGTTTTATATCTCAAAGAGGGTAAGATTAAACATATCAAAACAGAACAAAGCAGTTAAAAAAACAATTTAAAGAAATACAGATTTCGCAGCAAGCCCACTGGAGATCTTCACTGTCTATCTAATTGTCTCTAGTTTCTTACAAATAGTTGTCCCCATCTTCACCCACCTTATATACTTATTGTATATTATAGAACTAATCAAATCATTGGAGGCTTTTTTGGTCCT